AAGCAGGGCTCTGGCGGCAGCCAGGTGAGCAGGGCAAGGGGCCCTGGGGAGGAGGGAGGGGTGTGGTCCTCTGGGACACCTGCCCACTGAAGTCCAATCTGCTTTGTCTGCAGCCCATGGAGGTGCAGGAAGGCTATGGTTTCACGTCAGGTGAGTGGGTCTGGGTCTGGTCTGTGGGTAGGTGGGAGAGCTCCGGTGCGCCAGCTCCACCCACCCACCCACCATCCCCCCCCCTCTGTCTTCTAAGCAGATGACTCTTACATGAGTGCAGAGCCCCATGTGTCAGGCATGAAACGGTGAGTGTGGCTGTCCTTTGGAGCCGGTGGGCATAGGGATAGGTAGGGGTGTTTACACCAAGCTGCACCCACAGGTCCCGCTCAGGTGAGGGTGAAGTGAGCGGCCTCATGCGCAAGGTGCCCCGGGTGAGCCTTGAGCGCCTGGATCTTGACCTCACAGCTGACAGCCAGCCGCCAGTCTTCAAGGTCTTCCCAGGCAGCACCACCGAGGACTACAACCTGATCGTCATTGAGCGCGGGGCTGCAGCTGCTGCTGCCGGGCAGCCGGGGACTGCGCCTGGCACCCCTGGTGCCCAGCCCCTGCCTGGCATGGCCATTGTCAAGGTGAGCCTGTCCCCACAGAGTTGGGCGGTAAAGGACCTCTGCTGAGGCCTGCACCCTGCTGAACCCCAGCATCTCCTTCCAGGAGGAAGAGACAGAGGCTGCCATCGGCGCCCCGCCTGCCACCGAGGGCCCTGAGACCAAGCCTGTGCTGATGGCTCTGGCGGAGGGCCCTGGTGCAGAGGGTCCCCGCCTGGTCTCCCCCAGTGGCAGCACCAGCTCTGGCCTGGAGGTGGTGGCTCCAGAGGGCACCTCAGCCTCAGCTGGTGGCCCTGGTGCCCTGGATGACAGTGCCACCATCTGCTGCGTCTGTCAGAAGCCAGGTGACCTGGTCATGTGCAACCAGTGCGAATTCTGCTTCCACCTGGACTGCCACCTGCCGGCCCTGCAGGATGTGCCCGGGGAGGAGTGGAGCTGCTCACTCTGCCACGTGCTGCCTGACCTGAAGGAGGAGGATGGCAACCTGAGCCTGGACGGTGGGGACAGCAGTGGTGTGGTGGCCAAGCTCTCGCCAGCCAACCAGCAGGTGAGGGGGGGCCGTTCCCTTGGCTGCTCAGCAGCTGCATGCTCCACTCCCATTTGCAACTGTGCTCTGATGAGTCCTACCCGACTGTCCACAGAAGTGTGAGCGTGTCCTGCTGGCCCTCTTCTGCCACGAGCCCTGCCGGCCCCTGCACCAGCTGGCCACCGACTCCAGCTTTTCTGTGGTGAGTCCTGGGACCTGGGGTGGGGTGTGGGGGGCATGGGCTGCCTGGCCTCACCTTCAGCCTGTGGCCTCTGCCTTTAGGATCAGCCTGGTGGCACATTGGACCTGACCCTGATCCGCGCCCGCCTCCAGGAGAAGTTGTCGCCCCCCTACAGCTCCCCTCAAGAGTTTGCCCAGGACGTGGGCCGAATGTTCAAGCAGTTCAACAAGCTGACAGAGGTGAGTCTGTGCGAAGGCTGGGGCTGGGGCTGGGGCTGGGGGAGAGTGGGAACCCACCGCCCAACTCTGTGTGCCTAGGACAAGGCGGACGTGCAGTCCATCATCGGCCTGCAGCGCTTCTTTGAGACTCGGATGAATGAGGCCTTTGGTGACACCAAGTTCTCTGCTGTGCTGGTGGAGCCCCCACCGCTGAGCCTGCCTGGTGCCGGCCTGAGCTCCCAGGAGCTGTCCAGTGGCCCTGGTGATGGCCCCTGAGCCGGCTCAGCCTGGTGTGTCCTGTCAGCCCTGCCCTTCCCCTCTGGTGGTCTGGCTCCCATTCCTTGGTAGCCCCATTCCCTGGCCCCTCACAATATGGTTTTTACTTCTGTGGATTTAATAAAAACGTCACAAGTTCCTCGTGTCCTGGTTGGTGGGGGCAGTTTTTCTGGGTCTGATCTCTATCCCTCCCAAGCTCTGTGGGCCGAGTAGGGCTGGGGCCACTGTTCACAGCTCACAGCTGTCCCATGTCCAGCGAGTGGGAAGAGCATCCCTCTGGGCCCTGGTGACGGAGGAGCACCCTCATTTTTTGGGAGGGCCCACACACGAGGCTTGTCCTGCACTGGCTTGTAACCTTCTGAGCTTGGTGGGCTGACTCCTGTTGGCCAAGCCGAGTGGGGCACTATACACCTGGCAGACAGGCCTCTGCTCTCCCAGGAGCCACCCATCTGGAGGTGATGCTGTGGAGGCTGAGGTGCTGGAAGCCTGGAAGCGGTCAGTCCATCCTTGTCCTCCCAGCCCTCCCCCAACGCGTCTGGCTCTTTATCCCTTGGGCAGCCATACTGACCAGCCCTGAGTGACTCCTGCCCAAGGGACCCCGGTCTGGCCCACATGAGGCCAGTCACACAGGCCCAGGGACTAGTGTCCAATCGCTTTTATTACAGAAAGGGTACAGCAAGCCGGCCCTTGGGGGGCCCGGGGCAGTCAGTCCCTCCGCAGGTTCTTGAGCCGCTCCTCCAGGTCTGCGTCGGCATCCACCAGGGCGGAGGCCGATGCCGCGGCCTCTGCTTTCTTCCCTCCAGCAGCCACGCTGAGGGACCCTCCGGTGGAGGGGAGGTCTGCAGGGAGAGGGGTTGGAGCCCCTGTGAGAGCAGCAAGGCAGAGAGGGGGGTCGGGGTGGGGTCAGGGCCCAAGGCCGGACGCACTCACTGGATAGTTCGTCTGTCAGGCTCAGTCCCAGCTCATCCAGGACCTGGGACACCACAGCATCACTGGGGAAGGAAAACGCGAGGGTCAGTCCCTTTGAGGGCCAGGCCTCCATCCCCTCCCCCACCCGGTGTCCACAAACCTCTCCTCTTCATCCTCCTCGTCTCCCATGGCATCATCAATGGCATCGTTCATCATCTCCTCCTTCATGTCCATGATCTCAGCCTGTCTCTCAAACTCCATCATGATCTTCTGGATCTGGGGCAACTTCAGCTGCAATGGGGGGAGGGTGAGTGAGTGTGGTCCCGAGGTGTGGGGCAGCGAGGGGGACGGGAGGGACGCACCTGTCTGTTCATGGTGCCCATGGCCTTGGTGACACCCTTCATGGCTTGCGCCATAGAGTTGTTGGACTTGAGTGTCTGGATCTTGAGGGACACGGCCTGGATGTTGGCCCGCATCAGCACGAACTTGCGCACGTAACGCCGTGTGCGCACCAGGTCCTTGGCCATGATGCGCACGGCATCCTGAGGGGACAAAGGTGGCAGGGAGCCACCGTTCAGTGGGGAACTTCCGGGACCTCCCTGTGGCTAAACCCAGTGCTCACACTGCTCCCACCAGCCACTGCACGGCTCCTCACTTCTCGGACCCTGTGCCTGAGGTCCCCCCTTAACACATTAGGCGCCCCCAAGACAAAACAGGCTGGGCGCTTAACGTTAACCACACCCGTTCCCGAGTTCCCATGAGGCCAAGAACCTGCTGCCCTTCCACCTCTCCACAGGCCTGAGCCTCAGCCCCCAACGCCTTCCTGGCCTGGCCCAGGCCCTGGCTCCTCAGCCACCACAGGCTCCGCTCACTCTGGCTCAGGCAGGGTCAGCCTGCGTCTCCTGCAATCAACCCTTCCCCTCCCCACACCATCACTTCTCTGACATTTGCTGCCTGGATCGCCACCTGCTCTTCATCTTCATTCCTCAGGGTTTGCCTCGAGCATCACCTCCAGGGAGGCGGCCCTATTGGCCCCCAGACTGGGGAGCCGAGCTCACCCTTCCCTCCGCTTTCCTGGAAGCAGCTGCCTCCCTGGAGGTGATACCCGTCGGCTGCTGGCCGCCCCCAGTGCCTGAGCACCTCGCCCGGCGCCCGAGCCGCCGCCCCCCCGCTGAGCTCACCATCTGGCCCTGCTTGGCCATCTTCTTGATGTCCGCGATGATTTTCTTCTCCTGGGTCTCCAGCTTCTGCCGCTCACGGTCCAGCTCCCGCATAGCGCGGTTCAGGGCCCGCTGGTTCTGTCGCAGCAGCTCCTCCGGCGTTTTTCGGCGCCCAAACAACAGGTCCATGGCGGCGGGGCCCGCCCCTGGTGGGAAGCCTAGCTGCGGTCGGCATGGGGCCCAGAGCGGCGGCAAAGGCAGCAGGAATGGAGGGGCCAGACAGGAGGGAGTGTTCAAAACGGGAAGGGGGAACAGGGAAGGAGGCTGAATGGAAGCCAAAGCGCGCGGCCCGAAGTGTGGGGGTGGGTGCCCCAGGGGCACCGGGGACAGCAGGGTGCGGACCATCAGCGCCCGGAGCCCTGCAGCCGGGTGACGCCAGCTGACCCGGAGGGAGACTGGAGGGGGCGGCTGGGGGTCCCCTGGACGCTGGGCTCAGGGCAGTAGTGGGGGCCCCGAGTGCCAAGCTGACAGTGTAGGGACGCCATTCCGATCGGGAGGCCTGAACTGGCCGCCCACGCGCCCACCCGGGACCCGAGGCCTGGTAGGGGCCACTCACCGAAGCTGGGACGGGAACCCGCTTCCGCTTCCGGGTTACGAGCCTCTCGCTCGAATCCCGGGAGCGCCCACCAACGACAGCCCCTCGGTTCAGTCGCCTCTGCCGCCGCCGCCGTTTCCGGATTAAACGCTCTGACGTCACAGGCCCCGCCCACCCCCGGAAGGCGGGGAGGCGGTAAAAACACGCATGCGCTCTGCCGCTGGCCGG